ATGAGATATCATCTCACACCAGTCAGAATGGCCATCATCAAAAAGTCGACAAACATAAATGCTGGAGAGAGTGTAGAGGAAAGGGAACACTCCTACACTATTAGGGGGAATGTAAATTGGTAAAGCCACTATGGAGAACAGTATGGAGGTTCCTTAAAAAACTAAAAATAGAGCTACCATATGATCCAACAATCCCACTCTTGGGCATACATCTGGAGAAAAACATGGTTTGAAAGGATACATGCACCCCAGTGTTCATTGCAGCACTGTTTACAATACCCAAGACATGGAAGACATAAATGTCTATCAACAGACGAATGGATAATGAAGATATGGTACATATATATAGTGGAATATTACTCAGCCATTAAAAAGAATGAAATAATGCCATTTGCAGCAACATGGATGGACCTGAATATTATCATACTAAGTGAAGTAAATCAGACAGAGAAAGACAAATATCATGATATCACGTATATGTGGAATCTAAAAAAAATGGTACAATTGAACTTATTTACAAAACAGACTCACAGGCTAAGAGAAGGAACTTGTGGTTACCAGGTGGAAGGGTGGTGGGGAGGGATATATTGGGAGTTTGGGATTGACATGTACACACTGCTATATTTAAAATAAAATGCCTTACCATGAAAAAATGTAAAATGTATGTGCTAAAAGCTATAAAGCATTGTTGAAAGAAATTAAAGATCTGAAAACATCTTACATTCACAGATGAGCAGACTTAACATTAAGACAGCAATATTCTCCAAACTGATTTATAGATATGCAATCCCTACCAGAATCCTAGCTGTCTTATTGGCCAAAAACCCCACAAAATTGATAAATCTGATCCTAAAATTCACATGGAATTGCAAGGGTCCCGTAACAGCCAAAACAATCTTAAAAAAGAAGAACGAAGTTGCAGCACTCACACTTCCTGATTTCAAACTAGCTACAAAGCAATGGTAATCAAGACAGTGTGGTTCTAGAACAAGGATATAGAGATACAGATCAATGGAACAGAATCAGAAGTCCATAAATAAACCATCTGATTTTCATCAAGGGTGCCAAGACCATTTAATAGGGGAAAAAAATCATCTCTCCAACAAATGGTGCTGGAACAACTGGCTAAACACATGCAAAAGAATGAGGTTAATTAAATTAACTTCATTTAAATTAACTTCATTAAATTAATTAAATTAACTTCACATTTAATTAAAAATTAACTCAAAACAGATGAAATACTTAAATGTAAGAACTAGAAGTATAAACTTCTTAAAACAAAACAGAGGGGTAAATCTTCACAACCTTGGATTTGGCAAAGGATTCTTAAATATGACACCAAAAGCATAGGCAACAAATGGAAAAAACAGATAGAATGGACTTCATCAAAATAAAAAAATTTGTGTGACAAAAGACACCATTAAGGAAATGAAGAGACAACTACAGAGTGAGAGAAAATACTTGCAAATATATACCAGATAAGGAATTTGTATCTAGAGTATGAAGAATTCTTACAATTTAATAATAAAAGCCAAGGTAATTTAAAAATGGGCTATGGATCTGAACAGACATTTCTCCAAGGAAGATATATAAATGTCCAATAAACACATAAAAGATCAACAATGAAGTTCAACAATCATTAGTCATCAAAGAAATGCAAATTAAACCCATAATGAGATACCACTTCACACCCATTAGGATAACCAGAATCCAAAAGTCAGATGATAACAAGTCTTGGTGAGGATGTGGAGAAATTTGTAACCCTCATACTCTGCTGGTGGGAAAGTAAAATGATGCAGACACTTTGAAAAACAGTCCGGCATTTCCTTAAAAAACTCGACATGGGGCTTCCCTTGTGGCACAGTGGTTGAGAGTCCGCCTGCCGATGCAGGGGATACGGGTTCGTGCCCCGGTCCGGGAAGATCCCACATGCCGCGGAGCGGCTGGGCCTGTGAGCCATGGCCGCTGAGCCTGCGCGTCCGGAGCCTGTGCTCCGCAACGGGAGAGGCCACGACAGTGAGAGACTCGCGTACCGCAAAAAATAAAAACAAAAAAAAATTCGACATGGAGTTACCATATGACCCACAATTTCAAATCCTAGGTACATACCCAAAAGAAATAAAGACACATGTCCACAGTAAAATGTGTATACAAATGTTCACAGAAGTATTATTCATAATAGACAAAAAGTGGAAACAATCAAAATGTCCATCAACTAATGAATGGGTAAATAAAATGTGGTATAACCATAAAATGGATATTATACAGCCAAAAAAGATAAAGTACCGATACATGCTGCAACACGGATGAATCTTGAAAATAGTTAAGTGAGATAAATCAGTCCCAAAGGACCAGATATTGCATAATTCCACTTATATGAAATGTCCAGAATAGGCAAATCCAGAGAAAATGAAAGTAGATTGGTATTTGCCTAGGCCTGGAACGGTTGGGAGGAAATGGGGAGTGACTGCTAATGAGCACAGGATTTCTTTTTGCTAATGAGCACAGGATTTCTTTTTGGGGTGATGAAAATGTTCTAAAATTGAATGTGGTGATGGTTGCATGACTCTAAATATACTAAAAACCACTGAATTGTACGCTTTAAATCTGTCAATTGTATGCTTTGTGAATCATATCTTTAAAAGAGCTGTCATTTAAAAAGGCTAGATTAAACTAAGTAGATACACTTTTGTGTAATAAAACTATTAAAAATGCAAGAAACTGATTATAATAAAATTCAAGGGACTTCCCTGGTGGCGCAGTGGTTAAGAATCTGCCTGCCAAGGCAGGGGACACAGGTTCGAGCCTTGGTCCGGGAAGATCCCACATGCCGTGGAGCAGTGAAGCCCGTACGCCACAACTACTGAGCCTGCGCTCTAGAGCCTGTGAGCCACAACTACTGAGCCCATGCACCTAGAGCCCGTGCTCTGCAACAAGAGAAGCCACCGCAATGAGAAGCCCATGCACTGCAATGAAGAGTAGCGCCCGCTCACTGCAACTAGAGAAAGCCCGTGTGCAGCCATGAAGACCCAACACAGTCAAAAATAAATAAATCTTTTTTGTTTTTTTAAAGTCAATATCATGGCTACTTTTGAGGTTAGAAAGAGTATTGTAAGTGGAATAGGGCACATAGAGGGTTTTCTGGGGTAGCCTGCAAAATTCTATTTTTCCATCTGGTGATGGAAGTATACATTTGTTGTGTGAGCTTTTCTTGTATCTGTGTTTTATTTTACATGTTTTAAAATGTAAAGATGTTAAAATTTAACATGTTTTAAAAACTCACTAGCAAATTTATTTCAAACTCAATGTGAAGCCTTGCATTAGAATCCAAACTGACTATATACAAGGCATCAATTTTGGCTCTCTAGAATACAAGAGATTACACCTATCCTCAAGGAATTTATCTTTCAGCAAGAAGAATATTTTAAAAAGAGGTAGATAGAACTAGGCCATATTAAATACTAACTGGCACAAAATCTACATATAATGTACAACAGGATTTAGAGAAGGATATGATTTGGGGGCAAGGGATAGGAATAAGGGGGTACATCAGGAAAGGAATTTAAGTAAATATCACAAACAGGGTAAAACTGGGAGAGATCTTACAGAGGCTACATTGATTGAGCATTTACTGTTTTTTCATTTTTCTCATTCATTAAATCATTTAATCCTCACAATAAACCTATGAAACTGGTTCCATTATTATTTCCATTATACAGATAAAGTAACTGAGGCACAGAGGTGGTCTGCATATGGTATCAGTGATAAGTACAGTTGAAAACATACCCTGGATAGACTTTGGGTAAATTAGTTTACTTTTCTTAGTAAACTTACTTTCTTACTTTTTTAGTGTCTTACTCACTACCTGCCTTAGTGTGTCGTCTTATTTGAAATGGGGATAAAATACTAGCACCTTCATCCGAGGGTTGTTGTGAAAATTAGATAATTTAATGCATGTAAAGCATTTAGAACAGTTTCTAGCTTTAAATAAGTACTTAATGATATTAGATTTTTTTTAATTAATTAATTAATTTATTTATTTATTTACTCATTTATGGCTACATTGGGTCTTTGTTGCTGCGCGTGGGCTTTCTCTCTAGTTGCGGTGAGCGAGGGCTACTCTTCATTGCCGTACACGGGCTTCTCATGGCGGTGGCTTCTCTTGCTGCAGAGCACAGGCTCTAGGAGTGTCGGTTTCAGTAGTGTGGCACGTGGGCTCAGTAGTTGTGGCTCACAGGCTCTAGAGCACAGGCTCGGTAGTTGTGGTGCACAGGCTTAGTTGCTCTGCGGCATGTGGGATCTTCCCGGACCAGGGCTTGAACCCATGTTCCCTGTATTGGCAGGCGGATTCTTAACCACTGCACCACCAGGGAAGCCCCGATGTTAGACATTATTATAATAACAGAACAATGGTTTCTAGGAAAAGCATGTGAGAATTATCCCCACTCCCATTTCTTGTATTCAGTTGTACAACTTGGTCCCTTTGTTCTTCAAGATTCATTATTTGTTTATTAGATTGTTGTTTCCTATACTGTTTCGCAATACACTGAGACCTTTCTACTTTTTGAGGCATCTAGAACAGTTCAATTTAAAAATTATTTGCCAGTCTTTGCAAAGATTGTGCCGTATTCAAGAAGCAGGAAATCTGGCAGATCCTGTGGTAACACTGGCAGAGTATAGTAAATGTAGAGCCTACAGATAAGCAGAGGAGGCAACTCTGTTAAGAGTGGGGCACAGCTTAAAGCAAGCATGGATACAGCCTGAGGGGTGACTGAATAGGTCTTCTGGGGCTGGGGCCACTCAGCCCCAGAGGGCAAGCGTGGTAACGTCAATAGCAGGGCAGGTGCCTAGGGTCTCTCTGCTCTATTTTGGGGTGTCCCTTTTCTAGCCCAAACCCAGATGCAGAAGGCAGAGGGTGTCAGTAGTATGGGTGACAGATACACCAAGAGAAAAAAAGAGACGGCTAGGAAAGGCCAAGCAGGATTCCCAAATATACTTACTTTCCGTAAGATGTATCTTTTAATACTAATTCTGGAGCTCTATACCAGCGTGTGGCCACATAGTCCGTATAAATGTCTCCAGGAGCTGCTAGCGTTCGTGCAAAACCAAAATCACAGAGTTTAGTAGTTCCTGACTGGGATACTAAAATATTCTCAGGTTTTATATCTCGATGAATGATCTAAAAACAAACAGAAGATGCAATAGATTAAAATGAGGTTTCATTATCTAGAAAATCTCTCAACAATTACATAGAGAAAATCTAGCTAATTAAGACAGGAAAGCTATTTTCTTACCAAATGCAAATGATTAAGTACACAATGCAAAAGCTAAATAGTTACATACTTTCAGTTCTTGCCCCATCCATCATCTCCAAACAAAGCCAAGAAAACAGACATAATACTGAAAAGGTAAATCACATTCGTAAAAGGAAAAGTAATTAAAAGAACTTAATGGAAAAAGTTTAACTTTCCTTTAACCCCATGCCACACTCCAAGTACTGCTCTTTCTCTCATTTCCTTCGCAGCTAAACTTCTCAAAGACATTATTTTTACTCAGTCTTCACTTTCTGTCTGACCACTCATTCACTCCTCAAGGTAATGCAATCTGTCTTCTGCTCCCACATTCAAACTGCCCTAGCCAAAGTCATCAACATCCTCGTTGCTACATCCAACACACACCCCTCAATACATATCTTACTTGGTATCTTAGTGTAAAAGATATCAACCAGTCTTCCATTCCTGACTTCTGGGACCTAAAATTCCCCAGTCTCCTCCTATGGCAGTTCCTTTTTCTCTATCTGTCCGTAAATGTAGGGTTCTGGTCTTAGGCTTTTCTTCTCTTACATCTTGTTTCCTGCACAATCTCAACTACTTTTTTTTTTTTTTTAGCACTTTCTTCACTTGGTTATGGGAACACCATATTCTTTTGGGCTTCTTCCCATCTATTGGCTGTTCCATCTCAATCTCACCTACTATTACAGCCTTAGTAACTATCCATAAACTGATGACTTCCATATTTCTATCTTTCCTGGTTTCCACAAGGAATGGAAGTCCACAAGAAGTCCCACAGGGCTGAACCACACATCCCACAAACTCAGCAAATCCAAAACTAAACGCATCATCTTTTCTCCCAAACTCATTTGTTCTCAACAGTCCTTTAGCTCAGCAAATGGAACCAACATAGATCCCATGGCTCAAGCCAGAAATCAAGGCACTTTTCTCCCTCAGGTTCCATACTCTCTCAACCTGTCTACTTCTCTCCCTAGTTCAAGTTCCCTCAGTTCTCTCATCAAAATTACTAGCTTACCAAATGGTCTCCCTGAATTCACTCTAATCCCCTCCAATCCATTGTCCACAGTGAAATCACAGTACTATTTTAAAATCACATGTATGATTATGTCACTCCTTCAAGGATTCCCTACCCGACAGGATAAATTTGAAGCTATGTAAAATGGCTGGTAAGGCCTTATAGGATTTGGTCTCTGCTCACATTCTCAATGTCCCTTCGCTAGCCTATTGAATATTAGCTTCCCAATTCTCCAGGTTTGTGTCATCATTTTTTGCATTTGCTGATGCTGTTCTAACCGCCTAGAACACTTTGCTTGGCCAACTATTTCCTCAGGTCTCAGCTGAGACGTTCCTATTAGATGTTCCTTCTATATGTTCTCACATTATTCTGCACTTCCCCCTTCACAGCATTTGTCATGCTTATTATTAATTGCCTATTTACTTTTTTGTCACTCCCGTTAGACTGTAAGTTCCATGAGGGCAAGATGTATGTCTGTTTTGTTCAGGCTATATCCCCAGGGCCCAGTACAATGCCTAAAACAAAGAAGGCACTTAAAACCTTTATCAAATGTATTAAGCATATTCTCATCACCAGAAAAGTATCATGACACGAGTGAAAATATCTTGGTGACAGAAATCTGGGATCTTTCCTTTTTTATACAACTTGCTGCTATAAGCCTTTGGGGTTGGCTCTTGTTCTGCCTCACTCTTCCTCCTAAATGGCCAAATAATTAATTTAGGGTAATGAGTCACCTTAAAGGAGACATCTATAAAACTACATTAGTCCTGTTTTACTTCTACAACTTTTATTGAGTGACTACTATATGCCAGGCACTATACCAAGATCTGAGGATATAACATGAGAAAAAATAGACATGGAAAAGCACGTTAAGATACCACTTCACACATTCTGCCTACTACACATCCATCACCCTCCTCCTCAGTGCTCTAAACATGGGGGAGAAAGATTCACTCAGCTGATGTCCTAATGTTCTCATTCGTTTTAACAACTAACACCATGACTACATGCAGAACTCTATCCTTGAGAATCAAGCACTCTCTGAATCCCAACTTTTAAAATTCTGTGTTTTGACAACATCCTCCTTGGTCTTCCACAATCACTGAGACCTCTATAAACACAGTATTTCTTTCTATGTGTCTAGACCTTCTTTAATTTCTCTCATCAATGTTTAATAGTTTTCAATGTATAGGTCTTATATATCTTTTGTCAGATTTTCTCTAAGTATTTTATATTTTTGATGCTGTTACAATGGTATTTTTAATTTCAATTTCTGATTGTTGCTAATACACAGAAATACAATTAATTTCAGTACATTGATTTGTATCCTACAACCTTGATAAACTTACAAGTTAGTTCTCTTAACTTTGTTGTAGATTCCATAGAATTTCCTACATAGATGATCATGTCATCTGTGAATAAAGACAGTTTTACTACTCAAAAAAAAAAAAGATACCACTTCACACCCACTGGAATAGCTATGATCAAAAGACAATAACAGGAAGATGCAGAAAAACTGGAATACATTGTTGATGGGGATGTAAAATGGTACAACCACTTTGGAAAAAGTCTGGTAGTTTCTTTAAAAAGTTGAAACATAAACTAACCATGGGATGCAGTAGTATTCTTAGCTTGTCCTATTTCTATTGCTCTCTCCCCAGCTTCTAGTAGCTTTGTAAACCAACAGCCCGCCAAATCATGGTGAAAACTAGCAGCCTAGCAGCCACCAGAGGGAGTAGAATAGGGCTGTATCTCCTCCAAAGTGCCATTCCCAGGTAATAGTCATTATTTGACATGTCTGGCAGATCACTGGAAAATCGCACTAGAAGTCTTGTCTTTACTGACCTAACTCAGAGCTGGCCCAAGCAATCAGCCTTCTTAGCAGCCACTATATAACATTATAGCCACCTGAGGAAGCTATAACAGGACAAACAACAAGCTGACCAAAATACTTAATTAAAAAGAAAGGCTGTTTAGAATGGATAAACAACAAGGTCCTAATGTATAGCACAGGGAACTATATTCAATATCTTGCATGATAAACCATAATGGAAAAGAATATAAAAAAGCATGTCTCTATGCGTATAACTGAGTCACTTTGCTGCACAGCAGAGATTGCCGCAACATTGTAAATCAACTATACTTCAATTAAAAAACAAAAGAAAGGCTGGAGTTGAAAGGTATTATAAAGTTTAAGCACAAATTGTGGTGAGACTAACAGGTTCAAATCCCTACTTTACCCCTTGATATTGTGAGAGTGGGGCAAGATTCATAAACATGGCTTCTTCATCTCTAAACGGGGGTGAAATAAATACATATTTCCTAGTGTGGTTTTGAAGAATATGCCATTACGTATGCCTTAATATCTGTAAAACACTGAAAACGTTTAAAATAGCGCCTCATGCATGCTGCCATAAAAATGTTGATTACTATTATGATTCTTCTGTAAAAAAGAATTGAAGACATTCTCTGTATTCTGACATGGTGTGACCTCCAAGATATAATGTTAAGTTAAAACAAAATATGTGTGTAAAACAAGAGAAAAGAGAGAAAGAAAAGCTGGGAGTGAGATGTCCGTAAAGGGTTTGAAAAGTTCCAACATATTCCTGAGAATCACGAAGGGTACATGCACAGCTGTGCACACACCCAGGGAAGACCTGAGATTGTCCCTAAGCTCTCAAGACTGGCGGACTTTAAGGTTCTACACAAGCAGGAAGGTAAGGCTAAGGCAGAATTGTAAACTGTCTGCCTGAACATTGAAGACATGGCCCAACACAGATAAAGAGCCCTCAGTAAATACGGCTGAGAGATTTACTGGTTTCAAGAATTGAAGGAAATTTCTGTCCAAACTTTAGCTGACCACTAAACTAACTGAGCAGAGATTTTAGTGGTCACACGTGATAAAGAATTCAGACTTCACAGAATTAGTTCAGCAAAGTAACTAAACAAATAGCAAAAACTACAAACCCTGAGAGATGGGAAATTCTGACTTCCAGAGTTAACACATATTATTTTAAATGTCCAGTTTTCAACAAAAAATTACAAATGTCCAAAAAAAATCCCCCCAAATAGGTGTGCAAAGAAACAAATATGGCCATGCACAGGAAAAAAAAAAAAAAGCAGTCAATAAGAAGCTTTCCCTGAAGAAGCCCAAACATTGAAGCCACTAGACAAAGACTATAATTGGCTATTTTAAATACGTTCAAGGTTAAAGGAAACCATGTCTAAAGAACTAAAGTATGAACACATCTCACCACATAAAGGATATCAATAAAGAGAAAGAAATGATTTTTTAAAAAACCACTATCGAGAAGGCAAAAAGGCAATCCACAGAATGGGAGAAAATATTTGCAAATCACGTACCTGATAAGGATCTAGTATCCAAAATACAGAAAATACAACTCGACAATAGAAAAACAAATAATCCAATTTAAATATGGGCAAAGGACTTGAAGAGACATTTCTTCAAAGAAGATATACAAATATAAACTTGCCTATTCTGGATTTTTCATTTAAATGGAATTTATACTTATGTCTTTTGCATTTTGACTTTTTTCATTCAACATAATGTTCTCAAGGTTCACTCATTTTGTAGCACGTATCAGTACTTCATTCCTTTTTGTGTTTGAATAAATCCCACTGTAGGGTTGTACCGCATTTTGTTTATCCATTCATCAGCTAATATACATTTGAGTTGTTTCCACTTTTTGGCTACTTTGCATAATGCTGCTATGAACATTCCTGGGCAGGTTTCTATGTGAACATATGTTATCAATTCTCTTGGGTAGATACCTAGGAGTAAATGTGCTGGGTCATATGGTAATTCTATGTTTAACTTTTCGAGGAACTGCCAAGCTGTTTTCCATAGCAGCTGCACCATTTTACATTACCACCAGCAGTGTATGAGGGTTCCAATTTCTCTACGTCCTTGCCAGCATTCATTCTTGTCTGTTTTTTAAATTACAGCTAGACTACTGGGTGTGAAATGGTACCTCATTGTGATTTTGATATGCATTACCATAATGACTCAGGATATTGAGCATCATTTCATGTGCTATCAGCCATTTTTATATCTTCTTTGGAGAAATGTCTATTGAGTCCCTTGCCCATTTTTAAATTGGGTTGCCTTTTTACGTTGAATCGTATTTTATATATCCTGGATACTAGTTGCTTATCAGATACATGATTTGCAAATATTTTCTCCCATTGTGTGAACTGTCTTTTTACTTTCTTGATGGTGCCCTTTGATGCACAAAGTTTTTAATTTTCATGAAGTCCAATTTGTCTTTTTCTTTGATTGCTTTTGATGCATTAATACATGATCACACACAGATTTACACCTACGTTTTCTTCTGAGTTTTAGCTCTTATGTTTAGGTTTTTGATCCATTTCAACTTAATTTTTGTATATGGTGTGAACTATCAGACTTTGGATTCGGTGAGTTTAATTCTCCTTTATTTTGTAGTGAAATCCTCCAAAACTACATAGAACTCCATATTACAATGATTTATAATAACTCTGCTCCATATGCTTGAATATTTTTGTTTAATTTTTTTTTTCCGCTGCACCATGCAGCTTGTGGCATCTTAGTTCCCCGACCACTGCCCTTGGCAGTGAAAGCACAGAGTTCTAACCACTGGACCACCAGGGAATTCCCCTTGAATTTTTTTGACTATTGATTCACTTTCTTTGTTAGTTTTAAGATCATTTATATTTTTTTCCATTTGGATTCCATTAAGGCATTTTTGTTTGTTTTAGTGAACTATTGTTGACTTACAATATTGTGTTAGCTTCAGATGTACAGCAAAGTGATTCAGTTACATACTTTTTTTTCAGATTATTTTCCATTATAGGTTATTACAAGATATTGAATATAGTTCCCTGTGCTATACAGTAAATCTTTGTTGTTTATCTATTTTATAGTAGTTTGTTATCTGTCAATCCCATACTCCCAATTTATCCCTCCCTCCCTTTCCCCTTTGGTAACCATAGTATGTTTTCTACATCTGTGAGCCTGTTTCTGTTTTGTATATAGATTCATTAGTATTACTTTTTAGATCCCACACACAAGTGATATCATATATTTGTCTTTCTCTGATTTAACTTAGTATGATATTCTCTAGGTCCATCCATGTTGCTGCAAATGGCAAATACCTCATCCTTTTTATGGCTTAATAATATTATATATATATATCTATGTAGATATAGATATATCATCTGCCTAAACCAATCATCTGTTGATAGACACTTGGGTTGTTTCCCTATGTGCTTGAATTTAAACACCCATAGAAGTTCAAAATTGTTACTTTAGTTTTACCTCCTCTTTGAAGTTTTCTACTCTCAGTCTAGACCATACTGGTGTCTCCCATTATTCAACAAATATTTTTAAAGTCTACTACAGGCAAGACACTATAGGGATACAGATAACATATAACTATTCCTGACTCCTTATCTGTACTATTTAATAAGCACTTAAAACACACCTAGTGTTAAACACTACTACCTAATTTGATTTTTATAAAAAATCTGTGAGGTACTATAGTATCATTTTACAGATGAGGAAAATGAAGTTCAGAGAGGTTAGATAACTTCCTGGGGCCACAGAGTAATGGGGCTACCACCTTTCATTGTGCAAGTGTGAACTCCACAAGTTGTGTGGTTATCCATACATAAGCTGGTGGGTGAAAATCCAGGACAGTCTGATTCCAAGGACTGTGTGCTCTTAACTATTACATTATACTGCCCCCCCATGGATCCAGTCAGCAAGGAAATTACAATCTGAATTTCCAGTTGCTATCACAACCACATTTTTCAAAGCTGCAACATAAGATGCACTATTACCAGGACAGCAAATTAGACATTAAGATATCTGAAAAAGCCTAGGGTATATAGATGTTATGCCTACATCACTTACTAATAAAACTATTTTTGAAGCTTGTACTGTTATTTCACAAACATACATCTAACTTTACAGAAAGTAGAGCTCATGTTGGGAACAAAGTATGTCCACAAAAACCTGCTGAGATAAACATTAACTAAACAATGCTAAAAGGCAGCACTAAAAATCAACAGTTGATCTTTCCTTTCTTGACTTAAATGACAAGGCTCTACACCCCTCAGCCACTTTATTTCTCTCTGTTCTTTCCCTAAAGGCATCCACCTTCTCTCGCCATTCCCCTGGCCTAGTTTCCAGTTCCTACCTCCAAACCTCCCTTCATCTGAGCTGGCTTGACTTTCGATGTTTTAATGTACTTTCATTAATAAAAGATGCCCCAGTTGACTGTTGATTCCTCTATACCTCCTTTAGCATCCCATAGTTGGTCTGCCCTATAGTTATATTATGCGTTCAATACGTTTTTTGGTTCTGCAACTGAATTATAAGGTAGTAACTCCCCCGATCTCTCCATTTTCAGGATGTCAATTAATATGGTCCAGAAAAATAATTTTAACAACTTTCATAAAAACAGAACAATGTTTAAAGGGCACTTACAATTTATATTCATCCTACAGTTTGGCTTATTTTTAAGCACTTACATTATTTTTTTTAACATCTTTATTGGAGTATAATAGCTTTACATTGTTGTGTTAGTTTCTGCTGTATAACAAAGTGAATCAGCTATACGTATACATATACCCCCATATCCCCTCCCTCTTGCTTCTCTCTCCCACCCTCCCTATCCCACCTCTCTAGGTGGTCACAAAGCACGGAGCTGATCTCCCTGTGCTACGCGGCTGCTTCCCACTAGCTATCTATTTTACATTTGGTAGTGTATATATGTCAATGCCACTCTCTCACTTCATCCCAGAAGCACTTACATTATTATTGTGAAGATATTCAATTGCTCGAAGAATCTGGAAGAGGTATTTTCTAAGTCGTTTACTCTCTAGTCCATGACAATAATGTTGTAACTCATCTAATACTGTGTGGTCAATAAATTCAAACACCAAATGAATTTTCTTTTTCTGTCTAAAAACTTCAATCAGATTGACCAGGTTTTCATGACGAAATTGCTATTAACAAGAGAAATGGATTTTTAGTATTTCATGCACCATAATTTGCACATATAAGACCCATATAATTTTTAAAAGAAGAAATATTCTCTGCTTCTTTTCCTCCATGCATTTCAATAAAAATTTCTCAACTGGTTTGCTTACATTCCTGTTTTTTTAAATGTTAATTTATTTAATAATTAATATTTATAGAAAAGAGGGAGATGTATTGCTTTACTTCAAGTTGACATTTGGTTGCCTACTAAAACAATTCAGAGTTAATGTACTAAAATGTAACTTGGTATTCTGCTAAGAGATATCTTCCTATCTTCTAAATTGGTTTGTGATTAAAAGGTCCTTATGATTTCAAATGAGCATGGATTCCAGTGCCACTGAGCATGTAATCTGAATTTACAGAAGTTAATTACTCTCTGAGATTTGTCCTGAACTCTCAAGAGTAAAATATAAGTTCCAGGTGGACGTTATAAATTCACCACACTGTAACAAAAGGGTATCAAAATATCCAGAAACTTTTCATATATGTGAGATACCAATTTATATCCATAGGAACTCTACATAAATATACAATTATTTGTGGGTACATTTTTGTTCATTGTCTATAATATTCTATTAAGCAACCAAACACATTTTTAGAATGGTAAGCACTCACTGTCAAGATAATTTCAAAATGTCAAAAATGGCATGTATCAGCTTAGAAAACAAAAGAGGTTTATCATTTTATGCTGCTAATTCTATTTTTTAACACACTGACTTAATTATAATCAATTCTCAAATATTTAACTTTCTCAAATTACCAAAAATATTTATTCATTTGGCTAAAAATTAAGGGGTATATTTTTGATGTTGGATTCATCAAAAAGCTATACTTGTAAGAAAAAAAGTTTGCCTTTATTTCAATGGCACAACATCCATTTTTCTACTTATCTGTACTAATATATAGACTAAATTCCTCAAGACATGACTAATAGAAAAACATGCCAAAATATAATGCCAGATTCCTTTCCTATTTTTGCTCCCAATCCAATTTCCCTGGTTGGTGGGGTGCCAGAGTGCTGCAGCAACAACATGCTGGCAGTAGCAAAAAAAAAAAAAGACTGCCTTTAGACACTATAATATTAATCCTTCAACTTAGGAAAATTACTGGTTTCTTGACCAGTCTTAATTTTAAAGGCAAAAGCAGATAAGGATGAATGCAAGTTAACAAGCATTAAGGAACATCCATCCAGGGGTAAGGAGTCAGTGACTTTCTCAGATAAACCATAAAACCACTAGAAATACTCCATTATCCTTTTTCAGGTTGTTTACTTTTGTTTTCCTTTATAAATAGAAAACTTTTCTACAGAAATTCTCACTAATTACTCTAACTGTAATTTATTTAATGAAATTCCAGCAGATAAAACTTTAGTTCTAATTAAGTCATTATGGCAGTGTTTTTAGACTAAGAATGTTAACTAATCCAAGAAATCTCTTGTGGAATTAGATCTGATGAAACTAAAAATTCTACAAGAAATAAGCCAATGAGAAAAAATAGTTAAGTTATCTCTAAATAGTTTGCATAATAGTTGTAATAGTACATTTTCAAATTCATCTCTGTGTTCTTGCCACATATTGGTTATTTTTACAAAACAATTAAGAAGAAAAAATAATTAGCTTAAATGCAACAAAGGTGAAGAAAGAGCAAAAGATATTGCCTGGGAAAATGTCTCCTTCTAGTCAGATTTTCACTTACAGTGCACAAGTTGCCTTACAGTATTATTATGCTTTAGGTCATCAGGATAAGGACAAGTATCGCTCACAAAATCATAACATCTTTACTGACTTTAACTTTCCTTTTCATTGTCTAGAAATAGAGCAGTTCCAACAATCTACACATGCCTAATATATTTCTTCTATTTAGAAAGCAAATTGATCCATCATATCTAATATAGACTTACAAAGAAAGAAGAGAATATTACTTTTGTATCAGATAAAAAAGAACAAGAACAGTATCTGTTTTCTTCATCACATGTAAAAACATCTAGGCAATGAACCTTAAAGCATCTAGATAAATGCCAATAAACAAAATACATATGTATATTTATTTTTAAAATCACTAGTTTTGTACCCAATTGCCAATGAATCTTAATGCTCCTTTCTTTACACTCCTGAGGTCTTTCCATTAAGTGGACCAATCATACCTACGTGAAATTCTATCTTGTCCCCTGATCTCTCCTGTTATTGTTCTCCACCTCTAAACACCTACCTATCATCTTTACCGCGCTGTATTCCTGTCACCTCAAATTCAACATTTCTAAAACCGAACTAGTTCCCAAACCATGTCTCTTTTGGGTCTTTCATATTTCCATCAATGGTAGCAATCACTGAACCTCAAAGATACCTTTGATTCCCCTTCTGTTTCCTTCTACACTTTCATGTCTTCTTTAGTAATATATTATGTTCTAACTCTACTTTCCATTCAAATTGCTGCATTCTAGCAAGGACCCTCACATTTAACAGGATTCCTGAATTAAAAACACAACAGATCTCCCTATTTTTACTTTCTCAGTCCTCCAATCTATTCTAAAAAATAATGTTAGATTAATATTTACAGTTTCTTTACTCTGAATTCAAAACCTCGCACCTCTCACAAAATCAAGTTTTGATTCCTTAGCCTAAAAGACAAGACTTTAAAACCTACCTCCAGCTTACTTCTCTAAAATCACCTCCTTCTATTCCATATAAGAAACTCTACAGGCAAATGCACTTTGTCCTTTCTGCTCTGCTCTTTGTCCTGCCTTCAGCCTCTCTGAGCTTATGCTGTTCCCCTAACCTGGAATACAACAGTCTCTCCCTCTTTCCTAAATTCTACATACCCTTTAAGGCCAAATTCATGTTCCATTTCCTCCAAGAAACATTCCCTACCCAACAGGACTTTGTGTTAATCACTTGGCTTTTATTATCAGCCACTTAATAGTCAGTATTATTTGTATATGCCCTCTTGTCTTTCTAATTAATAAAAGTCCTGAAGAGCAGGTACTGTCTTTTACATCATTATAGTCACAGCATCTGGCACAAAACACTGCACAAAGCAGACATTTTTACTAAGTATTATACCTGGATATTTCTGAATAATTATTTCACAATATTTGGCATAGCTTTTGTTACATTATACATAAGAACATATATCTAGTATCACTGTAAAATTACAAAACGTACACAGTAAGGTAAGCTATGACACTTGTTTTTCTATTATATGTCCAAATACATGTTAACTGAAATATTCATTATATAATTTTTTATTCCATAACAACTCCCCTTTTGACTTACAGAGAGCAATTAAGGCAAAAGAAGCAAACCTTTAGCAACTTTATTTCTCTCGTTGCAATTTTGTTGACAGACTTTTCTGGTTTCTCATAAAATATCTTAATGGCCACTATCTGCCCAGTATCCTTATGTTTACACTTCATGACTGTTCCATAACTTCCCTCTCCCACTTTTCCAAGGGTTTCATACATCTCCATTTTCAAGCCCAGCTTCTTCTTTATAAAAAGAAAGGGGGGGGGAGGAAGAAGGTTAAACATTTATACCTTTATTTATTCAAGGCGGATAATGCATTTCCACAATAAACCTATACTTAAAAATACGGAAACAGGAAAAGTAGGAATCTTTTCACAGATTCTGTTTGTCTTTGGGAACTCTGCCAGTTCGGCAGTAAGGGGTCCTTGTGGGGCTCTGGCCCCCACCAGAACTTGGGGAGCTTCCTGCTGTCAAGATCATTCCCACCAAGAGTTAAGATTCGCTCACTACATGTCACCTATTCATCATGAGTGGGGTCCCCAACACGTCCAGTCATGCCCGCGTCAAATATGAGGTTCCCGCAAAGCTGCAGTCGCCAACAGGTCAGGCCTTGGGGCCCAAGAAAACCTCGGTCCCACCCGCTCCTCAAACCAGGCGTCTTAGGGTCCTGGACCAGTGCCGCGCCCTTTGCCCCTCAGTCGACCTCGTCCGGACAGCCGCCACCGCCTCAGCCTCAGCCCATTCTGCAGTCCCGCCGGCGCGGCTCCGCGCAGTCTCAGCCGGGAACCAGACACCGACCCTACCTATCCAGTCAGCTCCCAACGGCCTGCTGCCATGGCAACGGTGCACCGGGCCTCTCGCTCGGGGCCTAGGGCGCAAGACCGGAACACCGGCCAGGCCCGAACCGGAAGGAAAAAGAGGGAACAAGCAGAAAAGAGTTCCTGGTGGGCACTAACTGGAACCCTCCTTGAGGGTGTAAGTGGCGAATACGAGCTGCTGTCGATCAAACTGGGGCCACTACACAAGGTTGGTTTTGAGCGGCGATGGGGGAGGGTCGCATTTTGACGGCAGCTTGAGTGACTGCAGATCCTCTAGGGAAGGGGAACCGGCGTGGAAGTTTATCCGACCTGCGTCTTAGATGTCCCCAGGCCCGTGAACACTTGCCACTTGTGTCGGATCCTAAAAGGATGCCTGGTGTCACCAGGCAGAGATTTCTTGTAAAACGAGACTTCCAAGGAAGTCTTGTGTAATTATAGTTTTCTAAGTTACCTAGTTACGTTAATATTCCATAGATCTGATTTCGACCTCAGTTGTTGACATTCATCCTTAAAACAGGGATAAAACGATTCATCAATCAAGAACATTTCTTGAACACCTCTTATATGCTTAAAACATTTTTTTGAACTCATAGTAATCCTCCTTTTAAAAAACTCCCTTCCTACATGTCAAAACTCTAAAAGTCCCTCTTGAAAAGCAAATAATTCAGAGGGCTCCACCTCCCCCCCCCCCCGCAAAAGAGGCCTTAATCTAATTGCTTAAGAACTAGACATGAGGTTCTGCTGGAGTGCCAGCCTCCAATGAATAAACTGAATATCACTGGAAGCGCCCAAGGAGTGCTGTCTTTGTTAGGGCTTTCATTTCTTTTTTCTGTAAAAAGTTAAGTGTAAGAGGCCAAATCTCACTGTGCTGCTCGGAAATAAGATAAAGCACTATTACTATCCGGTAAATGCTAATCCAGTTGGTCTCACCCCACCATGCACGTTAAAATCACACCTACAGAGCTTTTTAAAAGGTCCCATCCCCAGAGATCCTGATTTAAATGAGTTAGGGTAAAGGAACTGGTATTTTAAAACCTTCCTAAGTGTTTTCTATGCTGCTAAGGTTTATACTGAGAGACGTGTGGGGGAAGAAGGAGAGGTGGTCATGGTTTTTTGCTTATCACCACCAAAATATTCAGAATTGTCTTTCCTTTTGAAAAGTTATTCAACCATGTTATAAAATACTTTCTATCTATGTATAAGAATATCATAGTAGGGCTTCCCTGGTGGCGCAGTGGTTGAGAATCTGCCTGCTAATGCAGGGGACACGGGTTCGAGCCCTGGTCTGGGAAGATCCCACATGCCGCAGAACAACTAGGCCCGTGAGCCACAACTACCGAGCCTGCGCGTCTGGAGCCTGTGCTCCGCAACAAGAGAGGCCGCAATAGTGAGAGGCCCGCGCACCCCAATGAAGAGTGGCCCCCGCTTGCCACAACTAGAGAAAGCCCTTGCACAGAAACGAAGACCCAACACAGCCAAAAATAAATAAAGAATAGAATTCTTTAAAAAAAAAAAAGAATATCATAGTAAATCTTACAGTGGACCCAGACTTGCTGTAAAGCACATTTATTAAATATTTGTTGTTGGCTTAATATTGACAAGGGACAAAGCATGAATCAGAGTACCTGCTGTCAGTGAGCTCACAATCTAAAGCTACAGTCTCTACGGTATAAACTTATAGCTTTAAAACTATTCTTTCTACAAATAGGTTATAGCAGGCTTGGTAACCAGGACAGCCTATGATTCTTTCTTACACAGTAAAGCTCTAGGACTTAAATGAAATCTCCTCACTTGATTTTCTCAAAAGCGTTACTTCATTTTGGAAAATCATAATCTGTAGATTTCCAAAACAATTATAATAAATTGCTAGACAAATGACATAACGGATTTTTTAAAAAAAGTTTCTCTTTGGCATTTCACTGTAGGTAACCCTACCAGTGTGTCTTCATCCTTAGTTATAGGGAGTATAAGGGTTGCTGTGGCAGGAAGGCAAAAAAAATAAGAATATTCACCTTATTAGCGAACTACATTTGTGAATGCGTGTCTATCAAGAGTTAGGCCTGGCTAACTTGATTACCAAGGCAGTTATAAAAACAAGAGAAAGAATTCAGGGATTGAAGAAAAGGAGGTACCAGCAAAGTAGAGAACGTTAACCCTTTCTGGTTCCATGAAAGTATGGGCAACACTAAATTCCTCATTCTATCTTCCTGTAACACCTTGGGCTGAGGAATTGCCCCAGTGGGTTAAAAGAGCTCAGAGTTCAGACCAGCAAAGCCCTGAAGAACAGAAATTGGCGGCAATAGAGGAAAGGAGCTCAATGACTAGAAGTAATGTCAGAATCCCAATGGTCAACATCCCTGAGCCCCCTAGAGGCGGGGCGGGGGGGGACATTTCAGGTCATTTACTTGCTAGTGTAGAAAACCTGAAATAAGTTACTCAGGCTAGATACATAACCCCCACCCACGTTTGCATGCTCTCTGCCCCAGATCTGAATCACAATATTAGGTTTCTCTGACAACCAACCACCTATTGATAACACTCTCTTGCGATCAACCCATTTCCTGACAAATACGACGGTACCCTATTGTACACAAATCCACGGACTCACACAAAACCTCAAATAAGAGGAGACCCATAAAGGAAAAACAATTCCGTAATTCTATGGGGATTGTAAACAAATATTAGATAATCTATAAACGCGTTCTTTTATCTCTGCCCAGAATTTCCAACCCTGGAAACCCACTGCAATGCACATGCAGGATTTTTGGTGGCCCTAAGGAAGCATTTCAGGGGATTTTACTTAGTATGGGCCTCAGCATTGAGCTGGGGAAAACGGAGGTCCCTTCAGTGTTCCCCACATACCAGATTTGATAAGCCATTGAGCCAACTAGGGGGCATTTTAAGTCCAAATTATTTTTGGCTCTATTTTAAAGATTTAAGAAGCAAAACAAACTTTTGCTTCCGACACCACCTCATCAATTGCCGTTCATTGGACAAACTGGACGGAAAACTAATAAAGGTGTATACCCGCCCTCAGCCCCGTAAATTTAACTACCCGGTTCAAAGACCTGGCAGAAACTCGGACCCAGGCGACGCTCTCACGTGATCCGTTCTAATCGCGTCATAGGGACACGTGGTTCTAGATACTTCGTCCCCTCCCCCTCAGGCGTGGATTGTTGACAACACCGCCGGCAGTCACGTGATCTTACGTCATCCTACCTCCTTTCCCTGATATCTCTGGCCCCGGATGCGTCCCTCTCTCCCCACCCGGTTGAGCCTAAACTAGTAAAAGAGGGGGAAACTGGTTGGTGTTTCGGTTTCGGTATTTCTTAATCACAATCTCCAGCCTGAGCACAGAGAACAGTAATTGGTCGATTCGTTCAGGAAGCCAAAATGGATAGCATCCTTGCTAAAGGGCTCCCATAACGAGCTCTCCTACGTCCCGTCCCCTTCTCCCCATCCCTCACTCCATGGTACTGGCGGAGGGCGGAGGGATCTGGAGGCGGCGGAGGGAGACGTCATTGCAGGGTTGTTTGTGCAACCTCGGCTGAGGCAGTGACCCACAGTGATTCGACCGCCGCGCCGGGGGGTGGGGGGGCTGCGCGGGACTCCTTTTTTTCAGACTGACCGTGGGGCAGCTGGGGAGCATGTCGACCCCGGCCCGGAGGAGACTTATGCGGGATTTCAAGCGGTAAGGGCCTTCATCTTCGTCTGGATGACGGCTCCTCCCCAAAGCTACGGGGCTGCAGGGCGGGGATCCGGGAACCTTCCTCTCATGACCCTAAGAGGGCCGCTGTGGGCCCAGCGGGACGGATGGAAGCCCAGTCCTAGCCCCTGTTAGCACTCTTGTCCTTGCCTGTTCATTCGTCCGACGTAAGAAATTTCGATACCTTCTCGCTACCCCTTCCCCCTCAAAAAGTAAAAAGATGGCCATGGGCTGTCCTAGGATTCCCTGCTGCCCACTTGTCCCAGTTGCCCGGTGTCTCGCCCTAGCGTTCAAACCTCATCCCCCGCCCCTGCACCTTGCGGTACTTCCTCTCTCTGCCTTAAAAGCAGGCCCTTGCAGAAGCCTTTCCCCTCGCTAGATGCACCAGTTAGCTTTGTTCGATGGCCTTGCGGTCTCCTTCGAGGGCCAGGGTTGGGGCCAAACCCTCCCTCCCTCCCCATTCTTTCTGCAGTGAGGGTGGGGTCTGATGCTCTGGGGCCGGGGGTTAACCGATCCTCCGAAACCCGACTCTCTCCCCGCACTCCTGAAAGGACCTTGAGAACTGGCTTAGAGGGCTGGGACTCGGGCTGGCAACCCCAGCTGCCAGTGCTTTCTGGAACTCAGCTCTGTCGCTTGGTGTATAAAAGCCCTATCTATAGCCTCCAAAGCCTGGGGAAATGCCGCCGTGGAGACTGGCGCTAACCTGATACTCCCTGGGCCTCCTTTTGTAAAGTAGGGTTTTGTTAGGAGGTGTTGGGGTTAGTGAGGAGGAAGTGACTTTTTTACAGTTGTTTCCCGTTGATTGAATGCTTGGAGGTACGGGGAGAAAAATGACCGAGAAAACTTAGCGCTACGCACCTCTGCGCATTTTTAAGTGTTTTTCTAGGGAGACCCGCCCTGCTTGAGGCAAAATACCTAGTGTAAAAACTTAGAACGGCGGCCCAGGAAGTAATCTCTCAACTTCATTATAAACTCTTAAATGAGGCACTTGGAAGCCATTGTTTGGGGCTTTGGCCAGTTTATCATTGAGTGTATTCGTAACTTAGCCTTTATCCTTGGTGGGCGGGCTTCAAGCAGCATATCCTCTAACGCTTCTGTTCGTTGTGGCCTATTCTGCTTGAGGTTGACTAAAAAGAGCCATTCTGGGGGGTGACTAATATCAAGTATCATACCACATGGCAGTCTGTATATATATATATATATATATATAATGTAGCATTTATTTTTTACTGAGATGACAGTCTTTAAAAGGAGATGCTCATTTTGGTGCAGAACTCACTTTCTACAGCTTGAAACCAGTAGATTTCAGATTAGCTCCCATGAGTGAAATTCAAATATTAAAACTTCCCAGTTCGTGGCCATTGTTACCCTGGTTTCTTACTGTAATTCTCTGCTTAATTCTGAGTTGTATACTTGGCATCTTTGGTAGTTTTCCAAGGGTCTTCGGTTGCAAGAATTTGATTATGACAAATGTTGGAAGGTAGCTTTGTACTGAGTTGCATGATCTGAGAGATAGATTTAGTGTTGGTTCAGAGCTTTTAAAATAGGGACTGAGGGGAAAACCTAACCAAAGCTTTGATTACTTTAAAACTTATTGCCAATTGAAGCAAATGGGATAAAGTAACTCTACTGCCTAAAACTAGTTTCCTAATTAAATTGGATATACGTGTGTTTTCAGTCATTTAGTGTTTACACTGAGGTGGGGTTTTTTTTGTTTTGGTTTTGGGGGGAGGAATATTTGGTGGCCATGTTGCACAAGTAGCTGTGGTTAGGACTCACGAAGTCTTTGCATGTTCACAACAGTAAAATCGTTTTTTCATTTGAGGTTTTTACTTTGTTGTTACTGTTGAAGGCAGTTCTTGAACAGATATCTTAACTTTGGTGATATTTGAAGAGGGATGACTCCAAGGCGCTTTTAAGTCATGGTTTATTCCAGCCCAGCACAAGAACAAGGAAATTGATTTACTTTGTTTCTCAAAGTAGATGGTGTACAGTCCATAGGTGTTCTGTTTGGCGTTCTTAGTGGCCTTAATGTTCAACTCTTAAAATTTCTACTCTGGATTTCTAGATTGCAAGAGGACCCACCTGTGGGTGTCAGTGGCGCACCATCTGAAAACAACATCATGCAGTGGAATGCAGTTATATTTGGGTGAGTTGAAAGAAATGACAAATGGTAGGTGTGGTGATTCTTTTAAGAAAAGTGAATGTATAACAAGTAGGAAAGGAAGCTGAGGGATCAGGGATCTTACAAAAACTGCAAGGTAAAAAAGAATTCTGAGAAGAGTTTCGGCAGTTACATAAAATTTATGATTTTATGATCACTTTGGGCTTTACTTGATAAAAATGTCATTTGAGACTAAAGGAGAAAGATAAATTATTTTGTGGAAAATGTGCCAAGCAAATTTTTATGCTTGCATGCTACTAGAACTGTAAAAAGGCTAGGAACCAAAAATACTAGAACTTCCACCATGGTAAGGATTTAAATGAAAAATGTTTCACACCTCAGTGTGAAATAACTGAATGGAGCCTTTTGAGATGCATTCTTACCTTTTACAGATAGTATATATTTTATATATGCTTTTTAATTTAAATTTTCCATATGGTTTTTCTTTAGTTTTCTAGAACTGGATTTTATTTTCTTTCACTCTTTTTAAACTAGGGTTTTGTACTAAAACTTTAAAGGAATACTTTTTGTAAACAGAATTCTGAATTGCTCTTGAATCAGTTATGAGAGTCTACGTTAAAGACTAGTGGAAAAATGAGGGTAGTTTACACTTCTAATTCAGGCTGTTAGCATGCTTCTTTGAGATCCTGAATGTGCCTTGCAAGTGGTAATTAAACTTCATGTTGCTGCTTAGGAAAGATGAAATTGGAATGTGGTAGCAAGAAAAAGATTTGGGCAAAAGAAACTGGCTTTCTTGGTGACATCAGATAAATCCAGTCGATTTGAACAAGAGCTATTGCTCTTTTGAAAAGCAGGACACTTTGGTGTCATAATTATCTTTTTTTTTTTTGCGGTACGCGGGCCTGTCACCGCTGTGGCCTCTCCTGCTGCGGAGCACAGGCTCCAGACGCGCAGGCCCAGCGGCCACGGCTCACGGGCCCAGCCGCTCCACGGCACGCGGGATCCTCCCGGACCGGGCCACAAACCAGCGTCCTCCGCATCGGCAGGCGGACTCCCAACCACTGCGCCACCAGGGAAGCCCTTCTTTTTTTTAATATAAATTTATTTATTTATTTTTGGTTGCATTGCTGCGCATGGGCTTTCTCTAGTTGCAGCGAGTGGGGGCTACTCGTTGCAGTGCCCAGGCTTCTCATTGCAGAGGCTTCTCTTGTTGCAGAGCACATGCTCTAGGTGCGCAGGCTTAGTTGCTCTGCGGCATGTTGGGATCTTCCTGGACCAGGGCTTGAACATTTGTTCCCTGCATTGGCAGGCGGATTCTTAACCACTGCGTCACCAGGGAAGTCCATGGTGTCATAATTATCTTAAACTAAAGGGTATTGATTTCCATCTTACATTGAAAGTAAGACTTTTCCTCTTAAGAATACAGATATTTACAAAAGCGTTGGTATTTATGAACTGAATTCTTTTTGTGCTAAAATTATGACAAGTTTTTTTTGTTTTGTTTTTTTGAAAAGCCACCCTAAAAGGAAAACTTTGAAAATTAAAGTTACCCTTTATGTCTACATCAATAAAAATCCAGGGCTATGGTGATACTAAATTAATAATAACTTAAATACTCCACAAATTACCAGAATGAGCCCCTCTTTCTCTGAGTTTATTCTTTCCACTTGTGAAAATCAGGAAAAAGCAGAATGAAAAACTTCTTTTAATCAGAAATCTTCTTGTTTTCAGACCAGAAGGGACACCCTTTGAAGATGGTAAGTCATTCTCAATGTTTTCTATTAAGAGGCTTCTTTTAAGTAGGGAATTGTAACACCAACCTATCTAGTTAACTAGTTTCTATTGTTAATAGGTCAAATTGTAACTAAATAATGCTACTGAGAATTTATAGTTTACAAAGGACTGTCTTCTCAAATCAGCTTGATCACCTTCATTACTAGTTCCCTGTTACTTTGATATTGGCTGTAGAACTCTAAGCCTAGATTAGATGGTGGGGTCTATGTTGAGAATAGTTTAAATGGCTTTGTATCATGCTAAAAGTGTCCCTGAGGTAAACATCAGAAGGGTAATCATGCTTTTTTAACTTTATGTATATTGATCAGGTGCTGAGCTGAAATTGTGCTTAATCATACACAGCGGCCAGTAGCTTCACGTAACAGCTAGCATTTGACACCCGTAAATAGTTACCATTCTGCAGGACCTTTTGCGTCTTAAATTCAGTATTTTCACCAAGAGCCAGGAAAATGGAAAACTCCTTCTAACATGTTTTTATAGTTGAACTTCTCAAATTGATTTTAACCAGATACTTAGTTTCCCTAATTATAGCATGGATTTTAAAAAATTGTTAAACAGGTTTGTCTTAGTTATCACAGTGGCTTCAGAATTAACCCATCAAGGATATTTGTACAAATAATGATTGCAGAAGTATTTTTAAGGAGATAACCTGAATGTTCAATAGGAGAAGTGGTTAAGCAAATTATGATATATCTAGACTCTAGAATATTATGTACCTATTAAAGAATAAGGTAGATCTGGACATATATCTGAGGAGACAAAAAAGTTGCAGAATGTATGTTGTAATACCACATTTTTACTAAATAAATGCATGCAAGTGTGTGTGGTTAAAGGGGATTATATACCATACTGTTACCAGTGGTTACCTCTAAATGGGGGTTAAGGAGTTGAAGGGAGGTACTCAAGGAGTTCAGCTTTTTACTTTATGCCAGAGGATTCTTAAGGGTGGTCCATAAACCCCTTAAGTTCCCTGTGACCCTTTCAGGGGTTCCATGGGATCAAAACTGTCTTCATACCAGTAGTGAGACATTTGCCTTTTTCATTGTATTAACATTAGCTCTGATGGTACAAGAGCGATAGTGGTTAAAACTCGTAGTTTTAAATCAGTTAAAACTGATAGTGGTTAAAACAAGTGGTTAAAACAAGACAGTGGCACCAAACTGCTGGGGGTCATTGTATTTTTTGCATTTTAAAAGATGCCAGTTTCAGTTTAAAATGTCTTCATGAAAAAGTCGGAATTTATTAATATTACTAAATTCTGGCTGTTGAGTATGCATCTTTTTAACATTCTGCGTGATGAAGTTGGAAGTATGCATGAAACACTTCTCTTGCATACCAAACTATGATGGTCGTCTAGAGGGAAAGCAGTTCTGCAGTCGTTTGAGCTGCAACTTCAATTACTGCTTTTCTCGTGGAACATTTTTTACTTGAAGGAATGACTGACAGACAAACTCCGGTTATTTAGACTCGAGTATGTATTTGGTTGACATATTCTTAAAAGTTACCAAAATAAGCTGTTAGGTCAAGCAAAGTGACTGACAGTATTTGTAGCTGCTGATAAAATGACGGCTTCCCAATACTTTTAAGACTTCTCTCATGAGATCAGTAGGTGGTATTACCTGTTGTGATTTTTTTTTTTGATGGAGTGTATATGTAATGAAATATGGCTACATTTAGAAGATTTGGATAACTCAGTGAACCAATATTTTCCAAATGGCCAATGTATTAGAAAATTATGGATGGATAAAAGATATATGCAGTATGCAACAGTTGTTAATGTAACTGACGCAGAAAGTTTATGTGGTTTCAGATTCTACATTGCAGCTAACCTTTAAAAACGTACCATTTCTTCGGTGTAATATCAAAGAATATCTACAATTATCTGAAAAGGCTATGAAAATAGTCTTTTCCTTTTTCATTTACATATTTGTGTGAGGCCTGATTTTCTTCATGTACCTCAACCAAAACAGCACGTTGCAACAGATTGAACGCAGAAGCAGCTAAGAGAATGCAGCTGTCTTCTATTAAGCTAATCATTTAAGAGATTTGCCAATATGTAAAACAATGTTACACTTCTCACTAACTTGGTTGGGGGAAATATAGTTATTTTCATTAAATGTTACTTAGGTTAATGTGTATACAGTTGTTAATAAATATGTTAAGTTTTCCTTGAGTTATAGTTTCTAATATAGTAAATATAGATAGAGCCTGTGATGTGCTGGAGGCAGCTTATACTGATTATGAGAATAGATTGTTTAAATATTTTGGGGAATTTTTGCAAGTTGGTTATTAAAGAGCCCATATTTTAAAATTATTTTCAATTTTTGGTGGAAATACCATAAAATGGTATGCTGTTGCATGTATCTCTTCCCAACTTCACATTCAGTGACTTCACTTTGGAAACTTGGCGTGGTTGGGAGTAAGAGTATAAAGGGGTCCTGAGATCCCATAATGTGAATTTAAAAAGGTTAAAAAAAGCTGTTTCATATTTGTGTTTGTCTGAAGTGTTTATGTTGTTCATTTTTATAATTAAAATTAAAACTGTAAAACTATAGAATTAGGTATAAGGCTATCTTTGCTAATGAACTGTACATTTCATAGAATCTCTATTAATATATCAAAATGTGAATTAAATATCATCTTTGATTTTGTTGGTATCTTTGGCCTCCCTAATCCCAAATTTCCAAACAAAAAATGTAAAGAGGTAGAGGTTACATACTGAATATATGACTAATGAAAATAAAATATTAAATATTTTACTGAACACATGCCTCTGATACTGGAGTCATGAGTTTAGAATTTAGGGTGAGAAAGGGTTTTTGTTTTGTTTTTTTTAAACTGCATTGATGAAATAAGGAAAGAAGCTTGTGGAGACATCTGGAATGGTTTTAAACTTTTATTGACTTCATTAGGAATAAGCCTCAACTTACTATGCCCAAGGTGTTGTGGTTGGAGCACGTATCCAACCTTCAGGTAGATTTCCTCAAAATAAAAGGACTCTGGATAGTGAATAAATGCAAAAGGAGGCTAGAAAGACAAACACGAAACTATTAACAGTGGTTGTTTCTGCTAAATAGATTTGGAATTTGAGTTAAGAGCTCTTCTTTGTACACTCTGAACAGATAGACTTTATTATAAATGCATAATTTTTTTAAAATGCCTGTCTCTTTTGACCATAAGATAATGATTTAGACTGACCAAAATGTACTGTATTGGTCTATAACCAACAGTAGGCAGTTACACTAATGCTTAACTGATTCTTGGCATACTTAAGTGATAGGGACAGAGCAGACTTTTCACATTAGTGGCCATGCCTCCAATCTGAGTCCTTTGTCATGTGGTGGTGAGCCCATCTCAAAATCATTTGGCAGCCCCTTCTAAGTTACAATAAATTATTTGTAGTTCCTCAAATGTGCATTTAAAATTTTGGTAGCTAGGGCAAAATTGCTTTCCAACAATATGACAGTTAATGTTCCCACCAGTAGCACATGTAAGTGCTGTACCCCCCAAGTGCTTGCCAATGCTGTATGTTATCAGTACATAAATAGTATATTTAGTATGTTTTATGCGCTAAACCAAAATTGACATTAATTTTTGTATGGTCGTGCAAAAGCCAGCATGGGCTTGGGAGTTCATTGATGAAGAGAGAGAAAAGTTATGCTTGTCTTTACTGTAATTATTTTGGTTTGTTTCTATCTAGGTACTTTTAAACTAGTAATAGAATTTTCTGAAGAATATCCAAATAAACCGCCAACTGTTAGGTTTTTATCCAAAATGTTTCATCCAAATGGTAAGTAGCAATTTATTAGCCTTTGCAAATGATAGGAGGAAAAAAGAGTTGTTTCATCCTTTTAGGTCTTGCCCATACTTCTCGTTATTAGGGCCCACTTCTAGATGTTGCTTCTATGTCAATATTAACCATACTTTTGTAGTCTGGAATCTTAATCAAGGTTCCAGATTTGAGATAAAGTTTTGTTTTAATAACTTCTGATTTTAAAGTAATATCTATTTATTTATCAAAATGTGAAAGATACTAAGGATTTATAGCTTAAAATTTAGCTTGCAGGTAAATGTACAAAATTAAGATCATGTTGTATGTAAGGTTAAGTAATTTATATATAACATGAACATTTTCACTTATTAAACATTCTTTTGTATCTTTTTTTTTTCTCCTCCTTTGGCCGCGCCACGCGGCTTTGGGGTCTTAGTTCCCCGACGAGGGATCGAACCCGGGCCCCCGGCAGGGAGAGCACGGAGTCCTAACCACTGGACCACCAGGGAATTCCCTATATCATTCTTAATGGCTGCAAAATGTTCTGTTATATGAGTTTATCATTATTTATTTAATCATTGTCCAGTTGGTGATTTTTAATTGTTTACAGTTTTAAACAGCACATTTTTCTTGAAAATAAATCTTCTCAAATACCCATGAATAAGTTTTTAGAAGTAGGATTACTAGGTCAAAGGTTTGTATGTTTTTAAGGGTTTTTTTAAAATACAGTTTTCCTCCCTTGTTACTATTTTTACTTTTAGCAGTTTATTACTATTTTCCATAAATGATTGCTAAGTGACTTTTGTAATTAAATTTGCTCTTCCTGACTTATTGCTCTTTATTTCTAATAAATTTGTATTCCTGGATTATAAATTACTGTATGAAAGACTTATTTTCCAGAATATTTAAGTTCTCTTTCCCTTTTATATCCTTTGCACATTTAAATGTGGTTTTCCATCAGTTAACTTACTTTCAGGAGGAACATTTTCAGAGGTCCTCTTGATTGTGCATCTAGTCTAGAACTACAGACTACGTGAGAAAACTGCAGGCAGATAGGGATCTCCCTACTCATAGGAGAGAGGTGTGTTTGTGTGTCTGGAATCAAGGTGACTTCCCAATAATAGATTAGATCATAGATTTAGCCTTTGTGCTTTATTGCTGTGAAGTTGCTTTTTCTTTCAAGGTCTTCCCCCACCCAGAGGCAAGGCAGCTTTAATTTTATTTTCTGTTTCTGTTCTGAGGAAATTTTCAAGTCACTTATTATCATTTATTCTACTGTAGCTTTACTAGCTTAGACTTGTTAGTGAATCGACCCAAACTGTAGTAAGGGAGCTCTGTAAATCAAGGTAGAAAAGACTGTGGAATGTGCAAGGAGTATATGTGTATAGGTTTAAGATTTTCAGCCTTAACAAATTTATAAGGAAACAGCGTATTTGATTTTTATCCCTTCATATTAATAACATGGTTTCCCTTTTTTCCACTATCAGTACCTTATTTAGTTAACTTACTAGTTTGCTTTTTTTTAAACATCTTTATTAAAAGATTCACATACTGTGCTACTTACCCATTTAAGTTGTACAATTCAGTGGTTTTTAGTATCTTCACTGAGTTGTGCAACCATCACCATTATCAATTTTAGAACATTTTTATCACCCTCCCCCAAAAATCCCATGCCTATTAGCAGTCACTCCCCATCCCCATCCCCATCCCCCCCGCCTCCCAGCCATAGGCAACCACTGATGTATTTTCACTCTACAGGTTTGCTTATTCCGGACATTTCATATAAATGGAATCATTTAATATATGTGGTCCTTTGTGATGGATTGCTTTCAGCTGACACAGTTTTCAGGTTCATCTATGTTGTAACACATACCTGTACTTCATTTCCTTTTATTGCTGAATGATAATCCATTGTATAGATAGACTACATTTTGTTCATTCATCAGTTGATGGATGTTCAGTTTCTAGTTTACTTTTGGATTACTTCTCAAACATAGTTACTAGTTCAAAACTTTAAAATCATTTTACAGTTTTATGGGTTTTACAGAGGTGATGATTTTTGCTTTGAACTTGCTAAGTTTGATGTTCCTATGGGATACACAGTAAGCGGTTGACTATGCTGCTTTAAAGCTGAGAGTTAAATCTGGTCTAATGCTAACAGTTGGAAGTACCTAGCACATAGATAGTAATAATTGAGGCCATGAATAAAATTGCCCAGAGGGTGTGTAAAGGGTAAGAAGGAAGAGGACCGAGGATAGAGCCCTGAGGAATGACAGTACTTAAGTGTAATTTGCCTCCTCTCCCCAAAAAGGCCTCACTTATTCCTGTTTGATGCAGAGTGGTCTGGCTTGTTCTGCATTCCACAGTTTGGCAGTATCTATAACATTTAAATGCATTTATCCTTTGTCAACACAGCGATTCTGCTTCTGGAAATTTATTGTAGAGATAAATAATCTGGCAAGTTCTGGATAAAAATTTATGTTCATTGTATTCTCAAATAATCAGTTCAGGAGGGGGGAAAAGCCTCTCAAATGTTAGACTTTTAAAACGGTAATCACTTGATTTTTATTTTTATTATGAAAGGAATGCATACTTATTGGAAAAACAAATCATAAAGTACAAGGAAAGGTAAAGAAGATAATACCCTTCATAATCCTACTATTTACAGATATTTACATTTTGGCATTTAGTCTTACAAATGTTTTTGTGACTGCATATACTTCAGATGAAAATATTTATAAATAATTCTTTATAAAAAATGGAATTATCCTAAATAAGTAATTGGAAACTTATTAATGTAATATATTGGGGGTGTCATTCTACCTTAATTAACATATGGTAGATGTATATCATTTCTGGCGGCAGTATTGGTATGTCCCGTTAATAATGTACCATTATTTAGCCAGTACCCTCACTGTGGACCAAAGGTAGTTTCCAGTTTGTCACTTCTATGAAGAGTATTATAGTGAACATCCTGTAAATAAAACTTTGCATGTCCATGATCATTACTTTTAGAGTAGAATTGCTATGTCAAAAATTCAGCTTTTTTATCCCCCCAAGAATTTTATTTAGGAATATTTGGAAATGTGGAATTTAAACAGATTTGCTATATGGTATGTGATGAAAAAATTTAACTCTCACTCAGCCTTCTGATCAAAAGGCGCGTAAAGAGTCCTTAGTTTGAGACTGATTTTCCTGTGAGACAAAAAGTTTTAGTTATTGACTAATGTTCAAGATTTCTGACTGAGCCAAGCATTCGGTTTGTGGTAAAAATTTCTCTTTAATTGTTAGAAATGACAAAGTTAATATATAACCAATTTTAGTGTTGTCTTTGCAGTGTATGCTGATGGTAGCATATGTTTAGATATCCTTCAGAATAGATGGAGTCCAACATACGATGTATCTTCTATCTTAACATCAATTCAGGTAAGCATGTGTTAGGATGCATCTTAACTTTTCAAGATTCTATGGGATATAATTGGCTCTTTTAGAATCAATTTAAAGGCCAAGTGAGCAAACTAACCTTCCCAACACTAAGGTAACCAGTGGCAGAGCTTGGACAAAACCCTCATGATTTTTATACAACCAATCTGCTTTTTCATTCGTGACCACATTGGATCAAATACACAATCGTTCTGATCAAATTTAAGTATAAAGTGTTCTCACAGGTCAGGTGTTTGTTTTGTTTCGTTTGGGTTTTTTTTTTTTTTGCCACACCACAAGGCTTGTGGAATCTTAGTTCCCTGACCAGGGATTGAACCCATGCCCCCTGCAGTGAAGGTGCAGCGTCCTAACCACTGGACCACCAGGGAATTCCCTCACGGGTCAAGTATTATTCGTGCCCAAAAAGAAGAGCCTTCTTGGGGAGAGATAAAGATGATTGTTTAGAAAAAAACATAGGGACCTCAAGGAACTGCAGAAGTGCAGAGAAGCATTGAGTATGTTGCCCCATCCAAGAAATTCTATTTTAAACGAAAGTAAATAACTATTTGCCAAAGTACTGTGGCAGAGTATTTCAGAGTTGACCTTGAATGACAGTTTGGGGGAGGGGTGGGGGGTAAGTGATGTTTTAGTTATATGGATTTGAGAGGAGCAGAAGTAACGTTTTTGGTTTATGACCTTTTTAAAGTTTTTTCTGTCACACTTCTGCTTTAATTCAGGTCATCTTATAAAGTGTTTTCGGCTTTCCTGTTTCATTCCCTTGCTGCTAGGTGCATATGTTTTGTTGATTAAAGGAAACAAGGTACACCACCCAACTTACTGTCAGAAATTTGCAAACTTACCTCAGTAATAGAGTTTAACTTTGGAAAATGTTAGTTGCTAAGCTATTTTATAGATATTGTGTATTAACCAAATCAAGTTGTTTATTTCCTGGTTAATGTCTCAGTATGCTGAAGAATACTGTTCTTTTCCAATTTCTTTGAGATTAGAGATCTTAAGGCAATTAAGAACTATCTGTTTTGAAAGCTTAAGTTTTCTAGCAGCAGGAAACTTCTTACTGTATTTATCAAACCATTTCTGAAAGTACTTAGATCTAAAAATATGTAAGACGTACTAATTTCTGTCTTTCTTCATAGAATAATTTCTGTTTTATACAACTTCTGTGCTCCATATCGGACCCATGTTAATATAAAGAATAACTCCACAAATATGTTTTATCTCTGTCTTTCCTTCTAGTCTCTGCTGGATGAACCAAATCCAAATAGTCCAGCCAATAGCCAGGCAGCACAGCTTTATCAGGAAAACAAACGAGAATATGAGAAAAGAGTTTCGGCCATTGTTGAACAAAGCTGGAATGATTCATAATAGACAACTGGTCTGTTAATCTTTTTCATCATTGTTGTGTATAATTTACCTCTCAGTAGAAAGGCTAACAAATTTTAAGTGCCACAGGTTTTAAGGATTCTGCAGAAAAAAAAACCTTCGGTTTAGAACCTACAAAAGCTTGTGTATCTTGATTAATGTACTTTTTATTGCATGGTGTGAACTAAGTTATTGCTTACATAAATTTGTAATATATCCTGTTTGTATTTTTTTCCAAGTGTATAACGTTGGTGTGGAGTTTTCATGACAGAATATACACATTTTGTAAATCTGTACTTTTTTCAAATATTGAATGCCTTATTTTTGAATTCTTTAGATTTTTAAATTGGAGAAAAGCACTTAAAGTTTTTTATATATGAATATTACATGTAAAGCTGTTAAAATACATAACTTCAGTGCAAGAGACTTTGTCACTTATTTCCTTATCTGAGTAGGAGGGGTTAATAAGTCTCTAGCTCTCCATCAATTGATAGTTTCATTTCTAATTTCAAAAGAACAGATTTATATTTTATCAAGAAATTCTTCAAATTTGATTCTAAACACCAATTATAATCTCAAACTTTATTTTGAATGTACCTATATTATTTTCAGTTGAGCAATTATAGACATAACTGGTTTGATTCTGTCCAACTCTGTATTTAGGCCACTTGTTACTGTTTCTTCATGCACTACTTACTGTTAAACTCTACCTTTTGGGATTTCACAATTTGCACCTCCACCACGAGGAATTGGCACCTCTACCATGAGCAGAGAGCTGATGCAACTTATTTTGCTGCTTGATAGCACTTTAAAAGATTTTTGATGATGAAAAAAAGTAAACTGTCAACATTTACCAAAAACTCATGCCCCACTATTAACAATAAATAAGAACTTGTTGCATTGGTTTGAACAAGGCAGATATTTGGAGGGAACCTTGGTGTAATTTAAATATTTGAAAACTGCCTTTTAATGCAATTGCCTATCTTTTTATTCTGGAAAAATGTTTTAACACCAGGGCCTGCTGAGTTGCTTTCTCTTGTGGAGATTTTTTTTTTTTAATCTCCTAAGTTGTATAAAATTTGTACTGCATTTTCATTTACTGGATAAACAAAACACAATATTGAAGAAAGCTAATAACAAAGCTATCCTATGCCTTCAAATAGTATAGAAAATGGAAAATATACAAGTAAATTCTGTTGAACCACCTGTGTAGTCTTTCTAGTAGTTAAAAGAGCTATTTCATTAACCCCAAGAGTTTCTTACACATTCATACTAGCTTAGTAAGCTAACAGCTTTTCTATTGAAAGACTGATTCCTCTACTGGAAGACTGTAGGATGGCAATATCTATAGGTTCTATTTATTAAGCAAATTTTAGAAAGGATAAGTGCTGATGTTTCCCTTTAAAAGTTAATACTTGGGAAATTTGGGGGTAAGTATGATCTTAGGGAACTTTTGATACAATTGAGAGTTAACTCACTGGAATTATGCCCCCACCCCCCCCAAAAAAAAGATGCTTTATTTAAAGGTACTTTTTGGTCATATCAAATGTGTGATACTTCTATATTCAGCTCTAAAACAGTTTCTTTAGACATGTACTCCAGTGACTGTCTCTTAGATTAAATATACAGTAGCTATGATAGTCTCCCCTCTTATTTCATTAAATGTTATTTGGATACTACTTCAAAATCTATTTTTATCCTTAACCTGTTTTCCCTATTTAAAACTGAAATATTTCAAGTATTGATAGATAATTATAAGGAAGTTACATCTTACTTCGCAGGGAGTTAATGAGCTCTAATTCCTAAATTCAACACATGCATAAAACTCATATCTAGCCCCCATTCCTACTGGAGAAAATTCTTAGGAATGTTCCATCTCTCAATTACTCTTCACAATTTTTTTCTTCAGCCTTGGAACAGATTCCTGTTTCTTTGGTTGAATACCAGATGCACTTCAATTTACAAAGTCATGTCATGCAAAGAATGTTTACTCTAAAATTAACTACATACATTTTATAAATGTATGGTACGGCAAGAGGCTAGAACTAATTTATTTTGGTACAAATTTGGATTTATGTTAAAGATTAAGTGCATTTGTGATGTGCAATTCCTCTGTAACAGTACTTCTAACATAACTCTGTGCAAGGCACTATTCTAAGCACTTTAACATGATCACATTTCAAACTCAGAGTAATCTTATGAGGTGGGTACCACCATATTACAGATGAGGAAACTAGGTACAGATCAAGTAACTTTCTCAAGGTCAACCAGCCAGTATCTGATAGAGCTGGGATTTGAACCCAGGCAGTCTGGTCTTTTAGCCAATAACTATACTATCCCTTAAGAGATGTTAAGGGATTGAGTTTAGTTTTAAAATTCTACTGAACTTAAATATTCATCCCACTTTGTGAAAATATCATGTTGATTGAGTTTTATATAGACTTGTATCTATCCAGTGAAGAGGTTTTCACCATTTTCCACTTTTTTTTTGTAATGTAAACAAGTAAAGTCTGGATATAGGAACACTCTGATCTCTGATAGAAAGCACTCTTGACTTATACACTAATTTTTTTCCCCTTCCTAGAAATATCCTTGAGTCTGTACAGACACACACACACCCCGCAAAATTTAAAAGTTCCATGATTATGAATAACTTCTGAAACTGATGTAAAAATTCTTCCTCATGTAGTGGAAGGTAATGGAGAGGAAAGCTATTGAAGGTGGCTTATTTAGTAAGTCTGTTGTGTGCCCAGTAAACGAGGTACCTGTCTTAATTTATTCATTTAGTACTCTTGATTGATTGATCGATTGATTGCGGTACACGGGCCTCTCACTGTTGTGGCCTCTCCCGTTGCGGAGCACAGGCTCCGGACGTGCAGGCTCAGCGGCCATGGCTCACGGGCCCAGCCACTCCGCGGCATGTGGGATCTTCCCGGACCGGGGCACGAACCCGTGTCCTCTGCATCGATCGGCAGGCAGACTCAACCACTGCGCTACCAGGGAAGCCCCATTTAGTACTCTTTTAAAAGACGGAAGCCTGGGGCTCAAAAACAATTTAGAGTTATGTCTAAGGTAACCAATTCTCCCGGGTTTTAAGAGAGATCAAGTTTTTAGGTCTTGGTGTTATTACAGTTCCTTTCTAGTGCATTCAGCAATGCAGAGTCCCAAAGGAATCTGGTATGTGGGGATTATGTATGTAAACAGAAAAGTCCATAGGTGGAAAGCTATTAAAGGTAAATGAAATTGTCCATAGGACAGGGGCCTTGTGCAAAGATGGTACTTCAGTTCCCATCTAGTTGGGGAAAAACTAAACTGTTGTCTGATATGGGGAAATTCTAGTTATCTTGTTCTAATATATGATATAGAGCACAAAGATATATTAGAAACACACACACAGATGTGTGTGCTGTTTTTTCAGTAATTTCTCCCCACCATCACTACAGGTTTTTAAAACAACTTTGTCAATAATAACCTGAGGTTTTTTAAGTTTTCTGTTCATTGCATGGACTAGGGCTTTCTTTTAGATGGGCCCAAAAGATGAACGAGGTGCACCCTATACAAAACCCTCTTAGTTCAGCAACATTAGTTCCTTGCTGGTTGAAATCAAGAGCCCTGGAAGAAGCTCCAAGTTTCCCCTTTGGCATATGGAGGACTCAGACTTGGGCTAGAAGCCTGCATGGACTGTCAGGAACTCTGCCATTGACTTAGTGCTAAAGCTTGGCCACAAGATGCTTTGTTTACCATTGACTTCTGGAATCATATATTTGGAAAGACTCTAAATATAGAGTGTACTTTGCTGAGTAAAAGCAAGTAACCTTTTAGCTGGTTAGGTCTTTTTGTGGTGATGGTCTTCGTTTGGTTACAAGTGTGATGCTTCTGTAGTCCTTTGGGGGGATATTAGAGCTGACCTTAGGCGCCATCAACCTGAATCATTTAGTTGTCATTCTTCCTGGAATGCAGGAGGGCTTTTGTGGTGTCTTGAGGGCTGCCAAAGTGCAAATGTAAGCACACTTAAGGCAGACCTCTTAATGCTGCTTCCTGTCTGAAGCCCTCTTCCCTTCCCCCTTTACAAACAAGGCCTTGTGCCAAGAATACTGTAGCCCACCAGCTAAATTGGACTGGCAGCACTCTTGAACAGAAGAATGTCAAATGCCGAGAGGTTTGCAGCTCTTTGGCTGGCATCTGCATAAAGTCATTCTACAAAACTTGAGTTGGGAGCTTTTATGTTTTATGTTTTCGTGTTGGTGCTAGTAGAAAGACAACAGGAACAGGAAGCTTCTTGTTCTTATAACCGTCCTGAGCAGAGAATAGAAAAGAATCCAGAGACTAGCTCATGGCTTCAGCTTCAGCTAAAGGCCTAGAATATCGCCTCCAAAGAAAATCTAGATTAGTGACCTTGCTGTATTGTAGTGGGCCTCAGCTATAGGACTGTACCTGCATGAACACATAGACTGTGGTTTCAGGTGGAGACTCCCTGGAACATCTGCTGGAAAGCTGCCTTTAGAATGAAGACTGTCAATCCCAGAGGTGGGTACAAGAGATCTCTCGCAAGCCAGAAAGATCAGCGAGGGCAGTACTGAGGCCTGGTGGTAAGTTGATGATACCATCTGTTAGGGAGAAAGTTTCCTTCCTAGCTTTCGTTAGCCCTTACACATTGGTTCTTTGGCAGGGGCTGGGTATTGTGCACAGAGCAGCTTGAGAACAGACTACAGTCACCATGGCACCCTCTCAAGACCTAAGTTTGAGGGATCAGGCTGTAAGAGCAACAATATAAGTACCAAAGATTGGAGCCAAATACTGGGAACTGCTTTCCAGATAACCTCTGGCAGTATATGCACAGGCCTAGGGAGGAGGCCAACAGGACAGCAGTGGACCTCCAAGGGTCCAAGCTCTGAATCCTCTGGGGACACTTTTTAATTAGCGGCTTTGTTTTTTGTTATAAAAGTAGAACCTAGTCATAATAAATTTGGTAAGCACAAAGGTAGAAGGAAGCATGAGTCATTCTCACCACCTGAGAAGTTGAGAACAGCTGGTTTAAGGGGAAGTGAGGACTGTAGGTGTTGGTCCAAGCCCAAATGTTTCCAATAGTCTGGGGCCCAAAATTCACACCCAAAGTGATAAGGAATCCAGTCAGTTTACAGTATGAGACTCCAGGGCAAGCCTTCTGCCAGGCAGCTATGTTCATGGAGAAAGGAGCATACCCACAGCCTTTGCAAGCCCCAGACCCCTAGAGGTAGGGATTCCAAGGATGGCCACGTGCTGACCCCTTTCCCAAAGAGCCTGGCATTTAATTTGTGCTGCATTGTTCAGTGCCTGCTGCCATTTGTTCTGTCAACATAACTACTGATACGTTGGCACCTAATGGGTGCCAAGCTGCATGTTAGGTCCACCCTTTTGCAGCTTTGGGAATGGAGACTGGTCTGGTGGGGTGTTTATGGGTGGTCATTTTTATTTTATGTAAATTTTAGTTGAAACATTTCATATCTTCCAGCGTGGCCTCAAAGGGAAAGTAGGGCAGAAATGAAGCAGTTCACTAAGTGCCAGGTACTTATACAGACATTGGTTTTTCTACGGAATCCTCCAATAAGGTAGGAATCATCCACACAGTGCAGATCCCTACACTGAGGAACTCAAGAGGAAGGAATTACTACCAGTTCACAACTACTGGGGATAATTAAACATTCTTAAGAGAAAATGCCGAAGGGAAGGAAAAGTGCAGCCCTAACAGCATGAGATTTTGGTGCTAGCATTCACAGCAAAGCAAGGGCTTTAATCACTAGGCCCATGCAGTTCAAGGTTGACCTTACTGTTAATTGCCCCTCCACTAAAGCAGGGGTGGACCAAGAGCTGCCTCAGGGGACTTGCCTGGTGGTCTAGTGGTTAAGAATCCGCCTTGCAATGCAGGAGACGCAGGATTGATCCCTGGTCAGGGAACCAAGATCCCATGTGCTGCAGGGCAGCTAAGCCCACGCGCTGCAACTATTGAGCTTGCGTGCCACAACTAAGACCCGATACAGCCAAAAATAAGATATTAAAAAAAAAAAGACCCACCTCAGGCCCCTAACAGCTTCTTTCTCCTAGGCAAATAAGTTGAAGGGCCATATTCAAGGATATTTTTGGTTCACTGGCCTTTTTTTTTTTTTTACTAGGCTGGGAAAGGAGGATGGGACTTGGGCTGTGACTACCTGGATTATGTTCTAAAGA